TGATATTTGCATGATAGACTGTGAAACTTTCTCTCGGATCTGGGGGGGGCGGTCGCGCCTCTTGCGGGCGCCTTCAGCATTAGTGAGCGCCGCCCCCCCCCCCCTTGGCCCCTGTGGCAGGGCGCGGGCAACTGCGGCTGCGGGGCTTGTCGCCACGGGCCCCCCGCTGCTGCTGCCTGCGTCGCGCCCCCGACCCCGACCGCCACCTGCACCTCCAGCGGTCCGTGGCTGGCAGGAAAAGATTTAGCGGCTAAGACCTGCGAGGTGGAGAAGCAGCGGCCCTGATCCCATGGGCCCCGCGCCTGCCCCCTGAGCCCTCGGATCCACTGGGCGCCGGGGGGGCCTCCAACTTGTTTCCCTTCGGGTCCCAGAACTTCGCCCAGTAGTCAGCAGTCGCCCTTGTGACCTAGGACTAGTGCGGGGCCCGGAACTATGTTGCCATTTCCATATGCGATGGCATTGTTGCCCTCCTCGGGGGTGGGGCCCGGGACCTTCTTGCATGATGGAGGCGCTGCTGATGCGATGCGGGGGGGCAGATCTCTTCCCATTCGCATTGGAAACCTTCTGCTCGTCCGAAACCGGGTGGGCAGCTGGGCGGGCTTCCGAGGCGCCACCTCTCCAGGGCCCGGCTGATCCGAGCGCGCTGGCGGGCCTGGTCGGGCGAGGCGTGGGCACCGGCAAACGGGCATGAGATGTCTGGCGGAGCTTGCCAGTCAGTCCAACTGAGCCTGCGCCCAGTAGCGATGCCGCGGCGCAGCCGGCGCCGAGGGGGTCTGGAGCGAGGCCGCTCGCTTTTGAGACCACCCCTGCCAGACGATAATCTCTGCCTCGAAGGCTGCCCGCAAGCCGATGCGCGGTTTCCACGGGCTGGCGAGGTCGGTCTCAACGCTGAAGTAGTCCCCCAGGAAACCGCTGATAACGAAGAAATCGATGAGCCCCCCTCCTGAACACGCGCTGAGGACCTGAAGCCCTGATGATGCCCTCGAGCCTGGAGACCCATGGGTTCCCATTGATGAGCTCTTCTGGGGCCATGTTGAAGTCTCCCCCTACGATGAAGGATGCTGGGGCAGCTTGACGAGCAGGGTAATATCTCGGACTACCGCGTTGCTGAAGGAGCTGTAGCCTACCCCCGACTGCGGGTAGACTGAGATGAGAACTAGCTTGCGCCGATTCAAACGGGCTGTGCAGGCCGTCCTATTAGCGCCTCCCACTAGTGGTTTAGCCTGCCCTTTTCCGTCCGTGATACGCGCGCGAGAGTGAATTTGCTTCGAGACAAACCACCCAACGCCACCTGAACTTCCCGCTGGCGTGGGGTGGCAGGGCATTGAGAACATTTGTAGCCAAGCTTCCACATGTACTTGTCTCTCCCAAGCGTCCAGAAACCAAATGCTTTTCCCCGAGCATGATGATCCCTGGGTGCCCAAAACTGGAGGTCTTGAGGTAATCCTTGGTTTTCTTGTTCCAAATCGTGATATTTGCATGATAGACTGTGAAACTTTCTCTCGGATCTGGGGGGGGCGGTCGCGCCTCTTGCGGGCGCCTTCAGCATTAGTGAGCGCCGCCCCCCCCCCCTGGCCCCTGCGGCAGGGCGCGGGCAACTGCGGCTGCGAGGCTTGTCGCCACGGGCCCCGTTGCTGCTGCCTGCATCGCGCCCCGGCCCCCGACCCCTGCACCTCCAGCGGCTTGTGGCTGGCCTGGTCCAGCTGGCATAGTCGGGGCTGCTCTGGGCTTGGCCTCGGGCGTGATCGTCTTGTGGGGCGGTATCTTGGCCTTGGCCTGCTCCAGGTCAACGAGAAACTTCCTGGCGTTCGCCCCGTCAACTCCTTCCATGCTTTCGATGAAGTTCATGAGCCCATCTGACACTGGCGGGAGTTTGACGGGCGCTGCCTCCGTCTCAGCATCATCCTCTGCCACCGGGGCGCCTGCGCCCCAGCCGCGGGTCGCCTCCACGCTCGCCTCCTCCAAAGCGATGCGGGCCTTGGCGAGCTCCTTTGCGGTGGATTGGAGGCCCCCTTTGATGGCGTCGGTCTTGTTCTCGAGCTCGGCGACTGCCTCGTTGAGGGCCTCCTGCTTTTTCTCGAGACGCCGTGCCCCTTGTAGGGCTGCGGTGGCAGCTGCGGCTGGTGGCTTATTTGGTGGCGCGACCAATCCCTGCATCTTGATGCACGCCTCCGTTCCGATGCCCGCCTTCTGCTCTGGGGTGAGCTGGGCGAGGAGAAGCGTGAGAACCTTGTTCATCTCCGGGGGCTTCTCCTGGTCTTTTTGACTGCTGCCGCCGTTGTCGCTCACGTTGCTGCTGCCGCCTTGCCCCTTTTTGTTGGGGAGGTCGAAAGGCTGCCCGCACGGGCAGGAGACCTTCTTGCGTGCCTTGCTCAAGTACTGTCACTCTCCACAATGCGAGCCGACGCAATATGCACGGCGCCTCTGCTGCTGTTGCTGCTGGTACTGCTGCTGGTAGGCCCACCGGGAGTTGCCACCCGTGACTGCTGGATCAGTCGGG